TCTCTTCTCTCTCTCTCTCTCACTCACTCACTCTCTCTCTTATTGATTCCATTATTCCATCATCATCATTATTAGCATTATTATGATTGTTAATATTATTACTACTATCATTATCATCATTGTTGTTACATTAACTATAACAATAATAACAACAGTAACAACATCATATCCAAGGCGGGAAACAAAAGCGTATATTTGCTTTGTATATTTGAAAAAAGAATTAAAATCTGACATTTTTAAATTTAATAACACAGGGGGAAATGTACCAGGGCAGGGGAGGGGGTGGGGCGGGAGGGGGGGGGGCGGCGGGGGGTCGTGCGGAGGAGAGCAGGGGAGTTGGGGATGTGGAGGTGTGGAAAACATAAGGTTGAAAAGAATTTACAATTTCAGTTGCCTCTTTTCTCATGAATTTTCTCACAGGAGAGGGGAAAAAGGGGTTCATGGAAAGTACTTTATCTTTTTCTACTTCTCATTTTCAAGCGATTTTTTTTTTTTTTTTTTTTTTTTTTGGAGATAGAGAGAAGAAAGAGAGGAGAGAGACGAGATGAGAGGAGAGAGGAGAGAGAGAGAGAGAGAGAGAGAGAGAGAGAGAGAGAGAGAGGAGAGAGAGGAGAGAAGAGAGAGAGAGGAAGGAGAGATAGATAGGATAGTGAGAGAGAGAGCAGAGAGACAGACAGAGAGACAGACAGACAAACGAGAAAGGATAAAATCTGTGACTTTATTCTGATAGAAGTCTCAAAAGGAAACATAATTCACTTGATAGAAGAAAAATCATTGGAAGATTACACTTACTGGTCATTGGTCAGCAAAACAAAGTTTTCAAAAGAAAAAAAAATGTAGGAAAGGATTTCCACGTGTGACACACACACGTTTTTCCTTTTTTCCTTTTATGCTCATTTGTGTGCGTGTGTGTGTTTGTATGTTATAGGTCATCCAATTTAATCTAGTTTATGCATTTATACATACAAACATATATGCATACACGCACACACTAATATGTATTTATATATGTATGCATATGTAAATATAGATAGAATGACAGATAGATAGATTAGATTAGAATAGATACCACACACACACATATGCACTTATATGTATATATTTGTGTATGTGTATGTATGTACATGCAAGTTTACATGTAAGTTTCCATGTACCTGTGTTTGTGTGTTTGTATGGGTGTGCATACGAATATGCATATACCTATACCTATGAATATATACACGCATCTATAACTACATTTACAATATTTCTCACAGATTCTTCTCCATTATCTCCTCTCACCCCCACCCCCCCCACCCCCTCCCCTTCGAAAGACCCACTGTTATAACCGCCTTATTCTAACGCCCCTTTATCTAACGCCCCACATCTCTCTTCTATTCCAGGCTTCATCCGCTCCACCGCCCTCAAGACCTTGATCAGTGTGTCAACGGTCATCCTCCTAGGGCTCATATGTGCCTATCACGCGCTCGAGGTCCAGGTGAGTCCCTCGAGGAAGAACTCTGTTGGGTGTTCGAGTAATTTTCTTTTTATTATTATTATTATTTATTTTTTATTGATTTTTATTTTATTTTTGTTATTAGTGATGATTTTATTATTGTGATTTTTTTTTTTTTTGAGGTGATTTTTTTTATGATGATGTTTTTTGAGTGGATGATTTATATGCATGTTGTGACTTATTACTGTTATTTGTTATTATTCTTAATTATTGTTGTGTTATAATAATAATGATTAATAATCCTTAATAATATTGTTATGTTAATTGTTATCATTATTATTATCATTATTATTATTTATTATTATTATTATTATTAACTATCTATTATTATTATTGTATATTAATTATATTATTATTATTATTATTATTATAATCATTCATTATATCATGTTGGACTTTATTCATCATTATTATTATTGCTAATCATTCTATTACTATTATACTATTGTATTGCTACTTTTATTTTTTATTTATTATCATGTATTTTTTATTATCATATCATTTATCTTTTATAATTTTACTAACATTATCTTGTATTATCATTGTTTACTTTTATTACTATTTATTTATATATTCATTATTATTATCATTATCATTATTATTATTATTTCATATCATTATCATCATTATCAATTATTCTTATTGTTATTATACTGTTATTATGACCATTGTTCATTATTAGCATTTTTTTATTCAATACAATCACTTACTAATATTTTTCATTAGAAGTAGTGGCGGAAAACAGTATTAATAATAATAGCATTGGTTCAATATTATTACATTTATTAACTTGATATTATCATTATTAAATCTTATGCTACTAATGATAATAATGTCAATCCTAATGTTTATAACACAGATCATTATAATCATTATCATAATTCTTATCAATTTTATTAGTATCATTAACATTATCATTATCATTTAGTAGGTGTAGTAGTTGTAAGTCATAGAATTATTAGTAATATATATCGCACATTAAGAATCATTTTTGAAAACGGGGGGTTAGTGCATGGGGGGGGGGGGGGCAGGCACTTTTGTATGTGAATGACCAAATATACACGGTATGTATGTGCATGTTTGCATGTTTTGTGGCGCGTGTTAGTGTATGTATGTTATGGCTGTGATGTGCGTCCGTGTGTGTATGTGGAGGGAGGCAGTGTGTGTTTGTGTGTGTGTGTGCGTGTGTGTGTGTTGTGTCTGTGTGTGTGTTGGTGTGTGTGTGTGTGTATGTGTGTGTGTGTCTGTTGTGTATGTGTGTTTATATGTGTTGTGTCTGTGTGTGTGTGTGTGTGTGTGTGTGTGTGTGTGTGTGTGTCTGTGTCTGTGTCTGTGGTTATGTGTCTATGTGTGTGTGTGTGTTTGTGTGTGTGTGGATGAGTGTTTACGACTGTGAATTAATGCGAGAGACAAAGAGAGGAAAATGAACACAAAGTAGCACCGGAGCAGCTCATTTTCATTCAAATTTTCTTGAAGGGAAAAGAAAGGATGCTAATCTCGCGTCTGGTTTAATTAAGGAAAATGTTGCCGTAAAAAGAATTTTCCTGGTATGAACAATTGCCTTCAGAGACTAATAAATCATGACCATTTGTTTCCTTTTCTTTCTACTTAAGGGAATAGGGAGCGAATGGCGACTTTTACAGGATGGAAATTTGTGGCAGAAACATGGCCTTAAACCTACTTCATTTAATGGATATATATATATATATATATATATATATATATATATATATATATATATATATATATATATATATATATATATATATATATATCTCTCTCTCTCTCTCTCTCTCTCTCTCTCTCTCTCTCTCTCTCTCTCTCTCTCTCTCTCTCTCTCTCTCTCTCTCTCTCTCTACTATACTCTCTACCACGCACACACACCCATGTCTATCATATCACACACACACACACACACACATACACTACACACACACACAACACACACACACACACACATATCAATATACATATATACATACTTATATATATATATATATATAATATATATATATATATATATATATATAATATATATATATATATATATATATATATATATATATATATATCACCCTCCCTCTCCTTTCCTTTCCTCTCTCCAACTGTCACACACTCTCACAAGCATCGCTCCACCCCGCCTCCTCCATGTCTTTCGTCTAATCTCTCTCTTCCCCTCTTTCCTCCCTCCCTTCCCCTCCCTCCCCACCCAAACCCTCTTTCCCTCTCCCCTCCCACCCAACCCTCTTTTCCCCTCTCCCCCTCCCACCTTCCTCCCCTTCCCTCTCCCCTCCCCACCTCCCCACCTCCCCCACCTTCCTCCCCACCTCCCCCTTCCCTCCCCCTCCCCACCCAACCCTCCTTCCCTTTCACACTCTGCTCAGCCTCTGCCCGGCGTGGTAGTCCGGGTCCTGTAGTCAATACTCATCCAGGGTCTGAACGGCGAGGGCGAGGTGTCCCCGAGGAGGTGCCTGGCGCTAGTCCTGGCCGAGGGTCTCTTTCGCATGGCCTGTCCGCTTGGCTTTTATTTCTACGAGGGGACTACGCTGCGGATTCTGTTGCGAGGGGAGGGGGAGGAGAGGAGGAGGAGGAGGGGGAGGAGGAGGAGGGGGAGGAGGGAAGAGGAGGAGGAGGAGGAGGAGGAGGGAGGGGAAGCCAAGGAACTGGGGGGGGGGGGGGAGAGGCTGCTGCAGGAGGAAGGGGAACTGGAGGAGGAGGGGCACCTTGGTGGGGGAGGAAGGGAACTGGAGGAAACCAAGGAACTGGGGGAGGAGGAGGAAGTGGTGGAGGAGTTGGGAAAGGAACTGGGGGAAGAGAGGTAGCTGGAGGAGGAGAGGGAGCTGCAGGAGGAGGGGCAGCTGAAGGAGGAGAGGGAGCTGGAGGAGGAGAAGGAGGGGAGAAATGGAATTATTGAGGGGGGAAGAGGAGCTGAGGAAGAAGGGAATTGAATAAAGGGAACGGAAAGGTTCGCGAAAGAGGGGCAAGAGATTGTAAGAGATGGAGAAAAAGGGAAAATAAACCGAGGAGGGGAAGGGGAGGGGAACTGAGAAAGAGGGAGGTGGAGAAATTGGGAAAGATGGTGGGAAGGAATTGATAAAGGAAGGACGCAGGAAAAGGAGTACAAAAAAGAAAAAAAAAGGGGAAAAGAAGGGAATAAAGAGGAGAAAAGCGATACTGCAGCTACGAAGAGGGAGGTAGAGGGAGAGGATGATGGGGGGATAAGGAAGAGGACTGAAGAATGGGGGAGGGAGAAATGAGGGGTGGGGGGGGGAGGGAATGAGAGATAGAGAAAAGGGAAGAAAAGAAGACTCGAAGAGGGACAAAAGGAGGGTAAGAGGAGGGAAGAGGAGAGACGGAGGGTACAGTCTTAGATTGATGAAAGTCTCAGGGGTTTAAGAGATTCATTTTAACGAGGAGTTGTTTCTGCCGCATTTCAGTGTTGCCCTTTCGAGGTGTGTCGTTTTTCTTCCCTTTTTTCTTTTCTTTTCTCTCCCCGTTTTCTGTT